GGGCCCTGGCTGCGCCATGCCGGGCGACGTCACGGTCCTTGATTTTAATCTATTCATAAAGGGCTTTTGAACTGCTCTTAGTCTGACCCGTCACCCAGGACCTGTTTGCCTTGGGAGACCCTACCAGGGACATATAGCCCCCAACAACATAGCTCCTAGGATCACTCGGGTACTCAAACCCCTCCACCACAATAAGCTGGCAGTTCAAGGAGGGGTAAGACTTTACATAGTTGGGGAAAAATGTCTCACGAGCGAGAGTACTTCAGAGTTGTATAAACTGAGTTGCTTCTGTATAGAAGTACAACAACATACAGTAGGTTCACCTCATTTTTTGAGCTGTCACATTTAAGATGATAATTCACCATTGTAACATTTTAGGTAAGTCAGAAAACACTGAAAAACATGCCATGTGTTCATTTTTGGTGTTGTATGTCAGAACAAGATCAAGGGTGTGATTTAAAAAAAAAAGAGTGATGAGGGCAGATATAGTTATATTGATTGGAAAATTTGAAGCCTCTCATTTGAGATGTACTGTGATGTCATGCATGAATATCCATGGTCCTTACCTTGATTAAATCATGAGCAGTGACATCAGGTTACTACACAATAACCACACAAACCTCTGTACACTTCAGACTGGTTGGTTAGATCTCATACTCTTCCTGACTGTAGTATTGTCACATTTATCCAATATGATAAAACATGAGCGTAAAATAACAGAAACATACAATAGTATAATATAATGTCATTTTATTTTTTCATTAGTTCAGTATATTTAACTAGTTACAGTATCTGCCATCCCAGCCACAGTGCTGTGGTGAATGCACACATTACCTGAGAAGCTGTGTGTAAGCAGAGTGCCACCTACAGGCATTTTACTGTAACACGCCATGCTGTGGCACAAATAACAAGCATTCGTGGCCCATTATTGAGGCAGCATATGACACTTTGAAGTGGTAGTACTGTATTAATGACACACTACAGACACCAGCAGGTGTCATGGACACAAATGACTAAATTGTCCTCTATTTAAATGTCTTATACTTTATTAATCCCCGTGGGAAAATTTCTTCCTGATAGTGGTGCTGTCAGTCACTGCCTGGCCACCAGGGGAAACTCCGGGTTTAGTGTCTTGCCCAAGGACAATTCAACATGTGGACTGGGGAGACCGGGAATCGAACCACCAACTTTCTGATTGGGAGACAACCACTCTACCTCCTGAGCCGCCCTATTGGAAAAGAATCTCAATTGTGATTGAAACTGTACATTTTTAACAAATCATATGCATGGGGTTTCAAAAAAATGGCCATTTAGGAGACAAACCCTGGAGGAAAAAAAAACTTGTGAAATGAGTGTTTTTAGAGGGCGACCAACACTAGGGACCAAAAGCAAATATTGGCCTCTGCTGCATCACTTCTGACCATTTTCTAATGTGTGTCTCACTAATCCAACACCTTTGTCCATGGTGCCTGCTGGTTTCCTTAATACACAACTTTACACTTTTATTACTGAGGCTGTCATTACTGTGACATTTTCCCCTTCTATAACTTTTCAGTAATTATTAGAGTCCGACTGTTTGTTAGTGTACATTAAATTGCTTCAGAGCATTACAGAGTTGTAATATCAGGTTTCCAGTTTAAGTGTTTAAAGGGGATCAGATTTTGCCTCAGGCACCATGTACAGAGATTACAGAGGATAACAGCCTGGATGAGTGGAATGAAAGCAAAGTAAATACTGTAATTAAGTAAGTAAAGGTTTGAATATACCATGCTGACAGCAGAGACACTGTCTAGTGGCCCAGTAGCTGTTAATGGAGAAAAACTGTGGTTTTAAGAAAAGCCCATATTCAGAATGGGAAATTACTTATTGCTGTGTTTAAAAACATCACGTGTCTGTGTGCTGTGCCTGTTGTCAGACTGAATGTGCTAAAAGTATAGACAGCCCTGTCATGGGGGTTGGTGGGAGGATGCGGACCAAACCTTTGATTCCAGAGATGTGTTTCACCACCACCACAGAAGAGGACTCTGAGTGTGAAGAGCAGCCCGTCACACCTCATCTAGAGGAAGATGGAACCAGCCTGCTCATCAGCTGCTCTCAGTGCAGCGTCCGTGTCCACACCAGTCAGTACACAAGCACTCACACTGAGAACATTGGTTACAGATGGGGTACACAATCTGCATGTTACATAATTGTATCCATGTGATCAAGATGTTTTTACACAAACTCTGTCAACCTTACACATCTTATTTTTTCAGTTTTCATTCAGATAGAAATGTGTTACTATAGCATTAGACAGCAGCAGTTGATGACAGATCATTAGTATTTATAGCTGCACTGACTAAATACTATCTGCAGGTCGCAGCATATGCCAACAGGTGCCTTCATTATATCATGACAGTGTCTCTCTCAGTACACCATCTGGGTCCGATTGTGTCTTTGTGTTTGTATATTCCAGGCTGTTATGGTGTGGATCCAGCCAGTGTGAACAAGGAGTGGAAATGTGCACGCTGCAAGGCCAATGCCATGACTGAGGTCAGATTTACCATTCCTGACATATTGTTTAATTGGAGCCTTTTTGGTAGTTCAGTGCCAATTTATATCTAATGGTCAACTCTAGTAGTGTACAGAAGCAAGGATTATTTGTATTTTAACTGATCTCAAGAGATCTCTTGTTCAAGAAAGAAAGAAACTTAATTAGATTGATCAAAATTCAGTATAAAATATTATCCACTAACCAATACCAGTGGTTGTCATTTATTTCCTGCCCATCAGCAGCAAACCTCATATTTTAAACTGATCTTCCCTGTGTGTAGACTGCATAGTTACTCTCTAGCTGATGTGCTCCCTCTCGAAAGCATCACTACATGTCGGGGCTATAGCATTGATATAGATGCCTGCGGAGAATGCTGAAAGTGATTCATTAAGAAGTTAAAGGAAAACTCACACTAGTCTTCTCCTTTTCAGTTCCAAACATTTAATAAAATGATTATACTGCTAGTTATTTTTTCAGTGATTTGTGCACTATATGAATGACTGAATGCACAGAGAACTAGTAGATACAGTGTAATTACACTTCAGTACATACAGTGGGTACGGAAAGTATTCAGACCCCTTTAAATTTTTCACTCTTTGTTATATTGCAGCCATATGCTAAAATCATTTAAGTTCATTTTTT